TCCCCCTGCTGCCCACGGTGGCCAAGAGTGCAAGGTCCTCCCCTGGTGCTACTGTTAGCTGGGAGCTGTGGGGTCCCCACCACAGCCCGTGTGGCTGGGAGCTGCAGGAGGGAGAAAGGGGGATCCCCACCACCCGTGTTGGTTTGGTGCTGCAGGGTCTCCCTGCTACTCGCAGGGGCTGGGAGCTGCGGGATCTCCCACGGCCTGGCAGCTGAGAGCTGCTGGGCTTCCACCAGCTGATGCATCCAGCCATGCTGCCCCTAGGCTGAAGCAGAAAATGTCCCGGAGGTTTCTGGAAGTCATGGATTCTTCCGTGACCTCTGTGACAAAATCTTAGCCTTAGTCATAAGCATTCTCATCCATTCCTTTTTTCCCTTTTGCTCTGAATGTTCTCACAATGTAGAGGGGTTCTGTTTCCCAACAGATATCTGAGATCATGTGGAAATCCATTTGTCATCAGTGTACAGTAGTTGCTAAACAGATAGAACTTTTAAATCCTCTCTGGGAAACAAGTGACAGAGACATTTAGCTAACCTAAACAACACATTTCAAACTAAGTACTGTACTATCTAAATGACTTCTAGCTGAACAGCCAACCCTCTCAATTGAATAGCTTGAGAAAGCCAGGACCAGAGGATGCTGGGAAGCTTGCCTTTTTGAGATCAATAGATATACTTGTAACTGTATTGAACCAAGTTTGAAGTCTCTGTCAAACCTTTGCCTCCTGATTTAACGAGAAGGCACTGTCAGTAGTACTCAGCTATCCAGTAGATGGCATAGAATCTCCGGTCACTTCTGTATTAGAAAGATATTTTAAATAGATCTAGTGCAAACAGTGCATACCCACACTGTAGACATACTTCAGTAGGTTTAAATCTTGCTTTTATTGGTTTAGTTTAATTTGGTAATTTTTAATAAATTTAAATAGCTGTATCTTAAGTGCCTGCATGGATTTAAGTAGATCAGTTTTAAAATAAATCTAGCTAAACCAGTGTGATTTTCTAGCATAGGCAAGGTCTTATACTGCTCTTGACTTGCATACATTGACATCAGTGTCAAAGCTCCCGTTGCCTTTAGTGGCCCAGGATTGGGCTCTAAGGGCAGTATATATGATGTATGTATTATTATCCTGACTCCAAAATATGACTAGATCAATTTTGGAATGCAAGGTTCCTGATTAGGATACTTTCATTGCTGGGCTTTTATTAATGACAGTGTCTACTTTAAGCTAAAAAATTGTGTAAAAGAAAAGGCGTTAATACATAGCTAATATACACTGAAACCTTTTTATTAAATTAAAAAAAGAAAATGGATTTTAAATGTAAACAGCCCCCTGCTATGCTGCGAGCCCAAGCACACCCGGATTCCTGTATGGTTGCTTGAGAACCAGAAAGTGAAGGTTAATGCAGTAGAGCCCAGAGGCCCCAGTAATAAGAAGAGCGGGTGCTGTACTTGAATGGAAGTAATGAAACAAATCCATCTAGTTTCACTGTCCAAACTGAGTATTTTTTAAAGCATACCTGGTGAACATAAATTATATTTAAACAATTGAACAGTTTTGATGATCAATGGTGTTAATAACACAGGTAAGTATTTTTTACAATTTCCACCTAGACACTGTCTCTTTAAGTTAATCACTCTGAACTTTCAATTATTAGGAGTTTGAATTGTTCTGTCTAAATGCTCTTGGCAACCATCACAAACATAAAGCAAACCCAACAACAAACTCTTGAGAACTATTTATATAAAAGCCAATAATCAGACAGGATAATAAAACAATGGTTTACAAGAAGCCCAAATAAATTCCAGTGCCCTTCTGAGCAAGATGGCCTGTAGCTAGTCAATAAGTAAACATTCTCACCACATAAAGTGAGAGATTGGAGTGACTGCTAAAAAGAGGAAAGCAAATAAATCTGAACAAGCAGAATGGCCTATGTTCTCATGCAACTCAATCCTTAGAAAATGGTCTGATTTGGATTTTTTAAAAATAACTTTAAATGCTTTAGTCATTTGAAAGTTGCCCAAAATTAAGAGAAAACTATACTTGAGGAAGCAAAGTGGTGTCCCCTTTGATTAAGTGAGCTGTTGTCTAAGGAAACCTCCATATTATGATTGGATCCTTTTGCGATTTACTTCAATGGGAAAATTTCCATTGAATTAGAGAGTAGCAGGACCAGAACGTATATTTTCATTAACCATTTCAAGACAGTCCTACCTCTTGGGATATTCATTTTTTTACCAAATGCATGTGTCTTGCTGAGTTCCTGTTGATTAAGGGGCAGATATTTTTTATTCTGTATTGCAACTCTTATTACTGTTCATGGGAGTTATGCAAGACATTTGTGCTCTGGTGAAAAAAGAATCTGAAACTTTGGTGTCCTTTGAAATACCCCAGTGCTATTGTACGGTATATTATACTTAGTGATTCCCATTGGAAAACTTTGTTCTCATGTGTCTTAATAAATGAAGACCTGTGCCATTTCTATTTTACTGATATAACCGTATTTAGGCAATGCCACTATCCAATCCAATCCTGCATGCCTCCTTTACTGACTACTCACATCAGAAAGGTCTATAGAATCTAGATCCATAGTTAAGTATCTGTCGTTTCAAGTCTAAATTCTTTAAAGGGACTTTGAAGAGAGACAAATTAAATGTTGTTGCTTAGAATTCAGCCTGGTTGATGAAGCCAAGGTACACATTGCATAGGTGGATATAACTCCACTTTGTCTTGATGTCCTCCAAGCAGCACCAAACTGGAAAGGGCTGAATTTGGCCAATTATGTTTAAATTTCCCTTTGCCATATAACTCTGTTTTATAAACAATACTGTTGCGTGCTTTTCCTTAAAGCAGTGTTCTCCCTAAGAATAATGGACAAGTTTAAAAAAAAAATGCTGCTGACGTTGAACAGAAAGTCAGCACTGAGGGATGACATTTTTTTTCCCTTTAGTGAATTGTCTCACATCTGTAAAAGCTGACTTGTGATAATTCAGGCTCTGAGGTTACAATAGCTGTAATGGACTCTCTTTGTGATCCCAGGCACAGCCAAGAATAGTTAACCATATAACAAGCCAGCTGTTTCTTCTACACTAATGACTTATTTGAGAAAGCTTAAGGACATTTAATGATATATTACAATAATTTGAAACATTCATCCTGCATGCTAAATAGCAAAGTTGAGGGGTAAGGAGACAGCAAAACCCAGATACTCTCTGGTGGTGAAGAAACAATTTTTTACCAATAAAAATAAATTGTAGAAGCTTCTGTTGTTCAATTGTAATCAAATAACATTGATTTCCACATTTTATTTACAAATTATATACATCTTTCATTTGCATCTTGTAATGCAGGAAATACTTAATCATATGTTTGCATTCAAATCCAGTACATTATGTGCAGTACATTTTGAAGTAGTATAACTAATGATTTGTGCAGATATAACTTAAGACGGGAAGTATATTTTATTGTAGTCTATTTAAATGTTGGGGAAACAGGGATATTAAAAAATAAAACATTACCTAAATCTAGCAATGTACCCAACAACAATTCTGGCAGCCATCTCATGGAGAGTAGCACCTTTGCTTTGTGAGTACTTTCATTGGTTACAATGGAAGAATTAATGTTTCTCAATGAGAGTGAGGATAGAAGAATCTGACCTGGTTCTAGCAGCCTTATTTGCACTGAATAGCATTAAATTCTGCATGCAGACCCATGTAAGTGTGAATAAGAGTGACAGAATGTGGCCACTAGATTTTTATTTGGCCATAAGAACTGAGGATGGTGTGTCATGTCTGTTATTGCCTGAAGCCTGTGTGGGATCAGTAGGAATGGGGTACTGTGTGGTGCAAGGGGACTTGCAAAGGGAATACAGGACTTTGCACCTGTATATGACTTGTTCAAAAATCCAGTCCAGATTAGTAGTGGCCGAAACTCATTATTGTTTCATGGCTACTTAATGCCAAATGGGAAGTGAGTTTGTCATCTCAATTCAGTTCTTCCTAGACAGGTGGCACATCACAAAACCACCACTACAGCTGGCATTATTTGGTACCCTTGTTGTGACTCTCAGTAGGGAGGACAACAACTGACAGCATATAGATAATGCATTCTTCTTGTACCCCTCGAGGTGGTATTTTCAGGTCAGGGTTGAAAGGTACCTTGGTAAGTCAGGATGTAGATAAGTTTATCCTGATGTTAAAGGATTTTGGTCTCCGTGATTATCACATAGACATCTTTAAAAATGAATATATTATCTAAAAAGAACGACAATAAAATAATAAAACAACACAGGCCAGGTCTACAGATAGCGTAAACGGATGTAGTTCCATTGACCTCAGGGGTCAGGCTCTATCCCAGTATATGTCTTTAGAGGTTACTTTAGAATTTTGCAATAAATATCTTAATTTTACATCCCTTTCCACCATAAAAAACAAATCAAGCCCCCCCCAGGTGTATCTACATCATTTGCAATTAACGTACGTCAGAGCTACAACCCATAAAGCTTGCCCGGGACCTTAAAGATGCTACAAGAGACTTAAAAAAATTCCTTACATTTGGTTTGTCAGAAATCTTCAAAGGCTCACCCCCAGTCACCACCTCTACCGTGAAAATTACAGCAAAGTTGAGTGGAAGCTAGAATTTTTCCAAAATACTTTACTTCAAACTGTCTAATCTGGGACAGATTTCCAGAGGATTTTAGTTCGGATTAAGATTTTTTTAAAGTGAGAAAAGTAATGGAAGTTGATGAATAGCTTTTACAACATCCTGTCATGCATATGGTTGAATTTATCATGCATCTTAACACACAGAGAGGCAAAGCTTGATAAGCAATTTTATTGGGTAATTACTTTTTTTTTATATTCGCAAATAAAACAGATTGATTTCCAGCTTGAAGTAATTTACTAACACATTATAAACTCGTCAGATGCTAACATGGTACAGTACGCCTCATTTCCTGTTTACTAAATAATCCTTTGGATGTTTGTTTTGTGTCTTTCAGGTTAAACCTGGAATTGTTTTTTGCCAGCGATGTCATGAAGCCTTGTGTTAGAGTCCTCCACTTGAGGGAAAACATTGCCTCACTGGCTCAGCTTCTTGCTAGCACTAGCCACGGTGGATTCCCAGTGGTTTACAAACCCAAGCCAGACCAAGTAGAGGTGTTCCTAGGTACTATTACAAGGTAAAAGATTATCAAGCTATTTCTTTGTTGTATGGCCTTTCTGGCCATCTTTCAGGTTATGAAAGAAATGTTTCACACACTGTATTTAGGGGGGAGGGATAGCTCAGTGGTTTGAGCATTGGCCTGCTAAACCCAGGGTTGTGAGTTCCCTCCTTGAGGGGGCCATTTAGGGATCTGGGGCAAAAATCTGTCTGGGGATTGGTCCTGCTTTGAGCAGGGGGGTTGGACTAGATGACCTCCTGAGGTCCCTTCCAACCCTGATATTCTATAATTCTAAGATTATAGGGTGTAAATACAGGTCTTGGTCCTGCTTTCATTGAAGCCAACAGCAAATCTCCCTTTGATTGAAGCAGATTTGGGACACGGATGTGTGTCATATAAGATATTGCTTGGAGAGCTCCAAAGAGGTGCCCCAATATGGTAATGTGGGTCCATAGGAAATGGGAAATCCTTGAAAGCTCACAAGAATTATAATGCAGAAAGAATTAGGAGATCAAACTAACCATAAAAATAAGCCAAGTCAAAAGAAAAGTAACCTGCTGAATAATCACAATCATCTTCCTTTTTCAATATGTGCTTTTACTGGAATTAAATGCTATTAAGATAAAACATATCACAGTCAAGATAAAACAACAAAGTCAGAAGCGCAAACAACAGATTACTGTAAACAGGATTTAGTCTAAGCAAACTCTGTCATAGTGAGGACTATCAAAGGGTAAAGAAAATCTCCTGATAAAGAAACTATTGCTGGAACTCCATTTCATAACAACACAAGTTTGACTCCATTCCTGCAGGAATGGACCTTAAGATTAGCCTCCATTCTTGGGGAGGGGTGGGTCAGAAGTGGAAGAAATTGCAGCTTAATCACAACCTTGCTTATAATTGGGGAGGAGGGGGAGAAGGAAAATAATGCACACAAATGCTGGTAAACAGGAATTCATATATCAAAAAGCAATAAAGTATTAATCCATATAATCACCATAACATAAACATGCAGCTGTTCAGTTTCATAATAATATTATAGTGTCTTGTGCAATGAAAGACACTATGTAGATACAAGTTCCTAAAACTCTTGAGTCTTTTCAAGCTTTCCTTAAAAGAAGTCCTTTCACCTACTGCTGGAGTTCTACCACCACTGGAGTTGAAGCCAGAAACTGCTTAATAACAACACAAGGATACAAATACTGTATCCAACTGAACTGGTAAAGTGAAGGCAGAGGCTCTTCAATTGAAATTTGACCAGGACTTACTCTTAGAAGAAGTACTCAAGGATCTTTATGGACAAGTCAATGAGATGGCATTTATCATCTGGTTGAATTAACCCCTGGAACAAGACTAAGGGCTTGTCTTCATGTACAGTGCTTTGTGGCACAGCTGCACTGGTGCGCTGCACCGCTGTAGCGCTTTAGTGAAGATGCTATTATTCTGATGGGAGAAGTGGTAGCTATGTCAGAGGGAGAAGCTCTTCCATCAATGTAGCACTGTCTACCCGGGGGTGTGTGTGTGTGGTTAGGTCGGCATAACTACATCACTCAGTGTGTGAGCGACATCATTATACAGATATAGGTCTGTAGTGTAGACCTGACCTCTGGAAGTTACAACTAAAATCCTCTCCAAACTGACACATCAGAGGTCTAGAAAGGCCACTTAGGAGATGTGTAACATAATCTCTCCATTCTGTTGGAAATGTCTAGCCAAGAACCATTGCCTCTGTTCCTCATAGGCCAAGCTGATGACTTCTATAGATTCTTGCACAAAACCTGCTAGCCAAATTACTGTCCCAAATGATGCTCAAATTGAGGCACAGCATTAACTGTTTTTTGGAAAGACTCACATTACCACCTCTAGCCCTACCCTGATGGACTAACATCAAGAAGTGTGTGAATGAGTTCATTGCGGGTTGGGAGAGGGGAGCCTGGGAACATTTAAATAACATCTTTTTCTGTGACTGCCCAGAAAATGTCCTTCCCACACCCTAACCATTAATGTGTTTTTCCTGAGGGCAATTTGGAAGTAACTCTGCACGTACATAAGGTCTTCTTTAACATTTTAGCTCCAGCGACTTGAGACTGATGAGCTTTCAGGATCAAGCTGCCCACATATTTTGGGCGTTCCAGTTATTAAAGCAATCCCTAAAAAGAGGAGCACTTGATTTTAAACCTTGTACTTTATTATTATTTGTCTATATGAAGGTAGCATCTGCAAGCCCCCAATCAGAGCCCCATTTTACTAGGTACTGTACAAGCACATAACACAAAGATAGTCCTTATCCCCCAGAGCTTATAATTTTGCTCTTAGAGGTTTGTTTTCAAATAAATAAATAGACTCATACTTAGCAGCTTCCACTTGGTCATTATTGGGCTTACCTGTTGGCTTTATGGTCAGATAAAGTTTAGGTGAACAATTAATGGGGCGGGGGGGAAGTGTTTGAGAACATTTGCTTTAGTAAAAACTGACTATGCTTCACTGAGAGGGACAACACTGTATGGGATTCCCAAAGGGAGGGAAATAAGTGCTTAATACAAGAAAATCGACTGGAAAACTGCACACCAAGCAAACCCAACAAACAGAATGTAGGCACCAATAAAATGGAATGTCATATAGATAACACTGATTTGCTTGTTCCCACGTACTATTGCTCTCGTTAATGTTATTAGTAAAGGATAAAGCATTGAAACACAAATCCAGTGGTTGACAAGCTGCAGTGTGTGCTGGTTTGAAGATGTTGCGTAACATAAACAAACACATTCATTTATTTCCCAACTATCCGCTGCAATAAAATGAGAACTCGTGCAAACAACTGATCCAGCCAAATGTTCATTTACAGTCTCATTGTTTCCTTTAGCTCATCATGTTACCTTGCAGCGAGAGTTGTAGGCTGTTAATGAGTATTCTACCTTCACATGCATATCTTAATTCTTTGTACCATGGGAGGAATAACAATAGTTGAAGCCAGGTGGGAACAAAAGAGGCATCACATCTTAAAGAGAGACCCAGTTTTATGAAATATTTCAAGCTACCAATCCCAGGTAATCCTGGTAGGATAATATTAATTTCTGTCAAAAGAAGAGTCATAGCAATTAGAACCGTATTTTACAGATGGATGAATGGAAATGATTTTTTTGTAGGATTTGTGGTATACATGATATATTATCTGAGTCTCAATCTGGAAAAAGACCAAGATAATGCTTGTAGGCTGGGGAGACAACCAGAAGAAGTAGATGATGATGTTGTTTTGACTGTCTTAGAGTTTGTTGCTCACGTCAGTGGAGCTCCGCAGGCAAAGACTGCCCAGGGGATGTGCTGAATCCTGGTGTCCTGAAGACTCTAGTTAACAACTTGCCCTCTCCAGTGTCAATCACAGCAGAAGCTTTGCTGGCCAGCTCAAGGTGCCTTGGTGAAATGAAGGTTGTGGACAGTTTCCTTGTATTGCTATGACACCCCTCCACCCTCATGAGTGGAATTCTGTGTAGCCATTGTCTGAATCTATCCATTGAACTTGTGACATGCCATGGGACTGTTAATGAGCACAGATAGTTAGGACTTGATTTTATGACTTACCTCCCATAACACAAGGTGTTTCTACACTGGAATTAGACACCCATGTCTGGCTCATGGCAGCTGACTTGGGGCCATGGGGCTCGAGCTAAGGGTCTGTTCAATTGTGGTGTAGACTTTTGGGCATGGGCTGCAGCCTGAGCTCTGGGACTGTCCCTCCTTGCAGGGTCCTAGAGCCTGGGCTTCAGCCCAAGCCTGAATGTCAGCACCACAATACAACAGCCCCTTAGCCTGAGCAGAAGCGGTGCCAGGGTTTTTGCTGCCCTAGGCAGCAGCGCTCCTCCTCAGAGCATTCGGTGGCGGGGGTCCTTCCACTCTGCGTCTTTGGGGCGCTTCGGCAGCGGGTCCCGGAGCGAGTGAAGGACTCGCCATCGAAGTGCCCTGAAGACGCGGAGCGGAAGGACCCCTGCTGCCGAATTGCCGCCAAGGATGCAAAAATGCCACCCCCCCCAAATCCTGCCGCCCTAGGGTCGCCTAGTGGAAGCGCTGAGCCCGAGCCTAAGTCAGCTGGCATGGGCCAGCCATGAGTTTTTAATTACAGTGTAGATACACCCACTGTGTCTTGTAAGACCATGAGGAGAAATGCTTTTGAACTGATTCAGAGGGAAGAGTGTTGCTTACTGAATCTAAGACACCATTCTCTGTAGCTCCTTTGATTTCATTTAGACGTCTCCCATCCAAGTACTGAAGCTGCCTGATTCTGCTTATGTTGTGAGATCTGACACGATCACAAGCCAAGGTGGTGTGATTACAGGCAAAAAAATTCAGTTTCAGCATTTTTCCATTTAAAAAAAAAGTACACTCCCCCAAGGTTTTCATATGGACCTGTTTTGACATTGCTATTACTTTATCAAATGGGTTTCCTCTGGCACAAAAAAATGATGGCAATAGGTAAAAATAAATCAGAAAGAGGAACGAAGAAGGGAAAAGTAACATTTCAGCCATAAAAAGAAGAACAGGAATACTTGTGGCACCTTAGAGACTAACAAATTTATTAGAGCATAAGCTTTCGTGGACTACAGCCCAACTCTTCTGATGCATACATCCGAATGAATCGGCTGTAGTC